TTTGTGTGTGTGTGTGTGTCTGTGATGAAATTTAGTAAGAGTGACTTCTCTTATAAGAATGTCTCCATATAATAGTGCTGGGAAAACTGGACAGCCACATGCAAAAGATTGAAAATTGACCATTCTTTTTCACCACACACCAAAATAAACTCAAAATGGATCAAAGACCTAAAGATTAGGCCTGAGACAATAAGTCTTTTGGAAGAGAATATAGGCAGAACACTCTTTGACATCAGTTTCAAAAGAATCTTTTCGGACACTATAACTCCTCAGTTGAGGGAAACAATAGAAAGAATAAACAAATGGGACTTCATCAGACTAAAGAGCTTCTTCAAGGCAAGGGAAAACAGGATTGAAACAAAAAAAACAGCTCACAAATTGGGAAAAAATATTTACAAGCCACTTATCCGACAAAGGGTTAATCTCCATAATATACAAAGAACTCACACTGCTTAACAACAAAAAAACAAACAACCCGATCAAAAAATGGGCAGAGGACATGAACAGACATTTCTCAAAAGAAGATATGAATATGGCCAATAGACACATGAAAAGATGTTCATCATCGCTAATCATCAGGGAAATGCAAAGCCAAACTACACTAAGATATCACCTTACACCCGTTAGATTGGCAAAAACATCCAAAACCAAGAGTGACAAATGTTGGAGAGGTTGTGGAGAAAAAGGAACCCTCATACACTGTTGGTGGGAATGCAAACTGGTACAGCCACTATGGAAAACAGTATGGAGATTTCTCAAAAAGTTAAAAATAGAAATACCCTATGACCCAGCCATCCCATTACTGGGTATCTATCCTAAGAACCTGATATCAGAAATCTCAAGAGTCCGTTGCACCCCTATGTTCATCGCAGCATTATTTACAATAGCCAAGACGTGGAACCAGCCTACATGCCCAGAAACTGATGATTGGATAAAGAAGATGTGGTATATATACACAATGGAATACTACTGAGCCATAAAAAAAGACAAAATTGGCCCATTCACAACAACGTGGATGGACCTCAAGGGTATTATGTTAAGCGAAATAAGCCAGTCAGAGAAAGACAAACTCTATATGACTCCACTCATAGGTGGAAGTTAGTATATTGATAAGGAGATCAGATCGGTGGTTACCAGGGAAAAGGGGGGGTGGGGGGAGGGCACAAAGGGGGAAGTGGTGTACCCACAACATGACTAACAAAAATGTACAACTGAAATCTCACAAGGTTGTAATCTATCATAACATTAATAAAAAAAAAATGGGATATTTGGACAGAGAGACATACACACATACAGCAGAACACCATGTAAAGATTGGAGTTATGCTGCCACAAGCCAAGAAACTACCAGAAGCTAGGAGAGGAATGCAATACATCCTTTCTTATGGCCTTCACAGGGAGCATGACCCTGCCAACAACTTGATCTCAGACATCTGGTCCCCAGAACACAGAATCTGTGGTATATTGTCATGGTAGCCCTAGGAAATGAATACAACAACTTTGGAAAATAGTCATTGTGACCACAGGAATTGTACATGGATATTGCTTAAGTGGGGCATCAGAATTTGCCACTCCAAAATGTGTCTCTTTGGCTTGATTATCTTTAAGAACAAAAGGCTCAAAAAGGAACTTTGACCTTCCCCTCAACTGCCAAAAAAAATTTAAATAGAAGGCCTGTTCCAGGAAAGCTATTGCCATAGATAACTCTAGGTGTGGTAGACAGGAAGACACCTAGCAAGGCCCATTTTTTTAATCAAAGTTCTCTCTCATTGTCCACAGATGGCCTAGCAAACATTTGTTTACCAGACATTTGCTTTTCCATCTCGATGTGAATTGCTTTCCTCCCCTTTGAAGTCCCAAACCACTACCCACAACATCTTCCTTTGTCTTTAGCTGAAGACGATATGTAAGGTGGTGGCTTCAGCCATTTTGGTGAGTTACTCAGTTTTCCTGGGTTACTCCCATGTATACCTGTTATTAAATGTGTTTGATTTTCTCCTGTTAAAAAAAAAAAAAAAAGAATGTCTCCATATATAAATTTAAAAAATATAAAGCCTTAAGAAAGTTAAACTAAACCTATATGGCTGATTCATACTCCTGACTTTTTAACCTCGACTGTATCCATTTGCAGAGAAATCCACAATATGAGAGCTGAAAGTGCCCTCAGAGAGCCAATTCCTTCATTTAACTGACAAGGAAACTGAGACCCAGAACAGTAAGGTCAGGGCATGCAATTAGTTGATGGCAGAACTGGGACTAGCATCAACTCTGCTGACTCCTACCAAGTGATATTTCCATTACATTATGCTGTGATATTGCAAATTTCTTGACCTTTTCTCAAAACCAAGTTAATTTAATGTTACTTTTTCAGAAGCACGCCTTGTAAAATTTTTGCCCTTGTTTTGGGAGGGAGAGTGTCATGGAACCAAACAAACTAATAACAAAAGCCCTAAAACTCTAAAAAGATGAGTTTTTGCTAAAAGATAAAACGACTCTTTAAAAAGAGCAAGATCACTTTCAAAACAAAATGGCAGCCCAATAAAGCTATTGAAGATTATGTATAGTGGGCATAAAAAGTGAACAGAGGGAGAAAGAGAAAGTGTGGCACTGTGCACCAAGGGAGAAGTGACGCCCCACAAACAATACGACGCCAAGTCCATCAGGCTAACGGGGCGGGGGGACAAAGGTGTTCAAGCCGTACTGAAGGAGAGAGGAGAGAATGACACACACTCAGAGCAGCTCTCTGTCTCACAGGATGTCACCAGCCACTTCAACCGCTGAGATAGATCCTGGCTAAAGCACGGTGTGACGAGGGGCTTCCTCCCCTATGCAGAAGACAGCTTGATGACCTAGCGAGTGAGTGAACTAACCTGAGGAGAAGAACCCCTGATCAAAGGCAACGCAGCAGACAGTCATCTGACCAGAGACCACGCATCATCCTGAGCCAGGTAAGAGTGAGTTACAAAGATGAATGACAGGCAGGTGACCCACAGCTCTTGAAATTTCGTAGAGCAAGACGGGAGCTCACAGATCCAGGCATTTTGCTTCAAGTGAAAGGGAAATAGTTATTTTCACTTTTAGAAAAATAAACACCAGGAAGAGCGTGAACTAGAGCAGTGCACCCTGTTCATGAGGATGAAGTTCTGGGGCACACCAACCGCTCCCTAACGCTTGCATAATTGTTGATCAAATGAGCTTAGCTTATCTCGATTTCTTCTTTTTACAAGTTGGGTAAAAAGTCTTTGCTCAAACCGGGGAGAAAATAAATATGAAGGTTGTTCCCTGAAAGACAGGCTTCTCTGGCATGTCCAAATTATTTAGCTTGAAACATTATAATGAATGGTTTTTGAAAGAAGCAATGCCGAGTTTAAAAAAAGAAGAATGATTCTACCTCATGCCATATGAAAATCAATTCCAGGGTGGATTGTAGATTTAAATGTGAAGGGTAAAACAATAAAGCACTATAAAATGATATAGGAAAATATCTTCATGACTCTTGCCATAGACAAATATTTCTCAGACAGGACAAACAAAAAGCACTGATTTTTTTTTTTCTTTTTGTGAGGAAGATTGGACTGAGCTAACATCTATTGCCACTCTTCCTCTATTTTATGTGGGATGCTGCCACAGCATGGCTTGAGGAGTGGTGCTAAGTCCACACCTGGGATCCAAACCTACAGACCCTGGGCTGCCAAAGTGGAGCACACAAACTTAACCACTATGCCACTGGGCCAGCCCCAAAAGCACTGATCTTAAAGGAAAGACTGATAATCTGGACTGCATTACAGTTAAGAACTTCTGATCAACAAAAGACACACTATTAGGGGAGAGATTGAAAAGACAAACCACAGAGTGGGAGGAGAGATTTGCGATATGTATATTCAACAAAAGACTTGTGCCCAGAATATATAAAGAAATCCTACAAATCAATAAGAAAATGACAGATAAGTCAACTTTTAAAAAAGGTAAAAGTCTGGAACAGTTGCCTCATCCAAGAAGGTATCCAAATTGCCAAGAGGCATGTGAAAAAGTATTCAACATTACTGTTCATCAGGGAAAAGTAAATTAAAGCTCCAGTGAGATTTCACCACATACCCGCCAAAATGGATAATATTAAAAAGACAAACTATATCAACGGTTGGTAAAGATGCAAAGTAATTAGAACTCCAATACACTGCTGGTGAGAATGTAAACTCGTACAACCACGTTGGAAATTTCTCTGATGGTATCTACTAAATTTGAACACATGCAAAGCCTGTGATCCAGCAATTCTACTCTTAGGTTTGTGTTACAAATGTGCACCAAAAGACATGCACAGAAATGTTCATAATGAATCTTATTCATTATAGCTCCTAACTGAAGACAAACCAAGTGTTCATCAACAACAGAATGGATAAAGTGTTCTATATTCATTCAATGGAATACTATACAGCAATGAAAAGGAACAAACAACTGTTACCACAACATGGACGACTCTCTCAAACACAACTTTGAACAAAAGAAACCAGACATAAAAGAGCACATGCTGTGTAATTCCATTTATATAGAGTCCAATAACAGGCAAACTCACTTCTATGGCCATAGAAGTAAGATCATGGTTACTTTTTGGAGGTGGGTGGGTAGTGACTGGGAGGGGCATGTGGAGGGCTTCTTGAGTGTTGATAATATTCTGTTTTCTGATCTGGATTGGCTTACACAGGAATGTTCACTTTGTGAAAATTCATCGAGCTGTTCATTTAGGATTTGTGCACTTTTCTGTAGTAATTATACCTCAATCAAAAATTTATCTAAAATTGGTTGCACAACAACAACACGTATATATATTCTATATATGCTATATGTATATAATATACATTACTGTATATATATGCACACTACTGAACCGTACACTTAAAAATGGTCAAAATTGTTAATTTTCTGTTAGGTGTATTTCACTATAATTAAATTTTTTTTAAAAAAAACGAAGGAACCAACCCTGCTGACGCCTTGTTTTTGGACTTCTGAAATATTTTCAACAAAAATATTTTGTAATAAAAATTTATCTAAATTTAAATAAGGGAGTTTCACTCCGTATATTAGAGCTCGTAGAAAAAAATACAGCCCTCCACTGGGACTCACCAAGCCCTGAGACTGGGTCAAGCAGATAGACTTGAAAACCAACTCCCAACGTGGGTGCCTGGAGGCCCCTGGAGGGGCAGCTTAGCCTGGACAAGTGCAGAGGGCCCGTGCACAGAGGGCGCCTGTCGAGACAGAGCTCTGACCGGTCATTGTTTTCCTCATCGCCATGGCGTACGGTTGAACTGATGCCAGGAGCTGACCTCAGCTGCAGTCCCCGCAGACCGTGTCCAGAATGCACTGAGGGTTTGGACCAGATCACAGCTCTGCAAGGCCGCAGTCCCAGCTCTGCCGCTGACCTCACCAGCAGCATTCTTTAGAGCACTCATCATCATTTGCAAGGAGTCTGAGGGGAAAGCACGTGGGGCTGTGCTGGTCGAACATCCCATCCATTCATCCAGCCACTTGTTCATTCATCCAACAAATCTTTGTCGAGTATCTGCATGTTCAAGGCACTCTGCTTGGTTTTCTACAATAGAAAGAAGCTCCAGGCTCCATGGAGATCACCTTATTTTTTAGAGATGTCAAAGGTTTACCTCGTATGGACAACATAGGATATGGCTATCCCCTGGAAGGAATTGGTGGGACACAAACAAAAGGTAAATTTCTGCTGCTTTCCCTCTGACGTTCTCTGCCCTCCCTAATCGCTGCCTGTGTCTGCTTCCAGAACGCCCATCCTGGGATGGGAAGTAGGCAAGAGGAGCAGAGAGCAGAGGAGGCTTAATTTCACTTGTATCAGTGGTGGGCACAGAAATCCTGTCCTCTTCTTTAGGGTAGTAGACGCCCTGGGGATTTCCTACATGTAGTCACTTCTCCAGACCAGCTCCCTTCTAGAAAAGAAGCTATGGCTTCACAGTTTGGTTGCTTGTCCAACATCTGTTTCCTGTACACACCTGTCCTCGTTTGGAGCAGAATCCTGCTTTTGCTAAGATCTCTTTCCTCATCTATGCATGTTTCAGGGGAGGCTCCAGCCTCGACTCGGGCCCTGGCCCACAGGCAGATCCTGAGAGGTCAAAGCCAGTGGCGGTGTTCCCCTCTTCCTTTGCCAGCAGCTGGTTTAAGATGGGTTTGTTAGGCTTGTTAGTCTGAGACCCAAGGGGACCTCTGCCGGGGGCTTCTGGGAGAGTTTGCTGTCTTATATGGAGATTGTGGATCTACGATGCCTGGGCGGCTGCAGCCCGTCTTTCCACCAGTCTGGGGATAAAGCCAACCCTGGGGACTGCCGAGCAGAAAGAAGCTGGCCTGTTCTGAAATTGTGAAACGACTGAATAAACCAACTCTGGAGACCCAGTCTGAGCTCCTTGTGCTGGAGAGAATACTTCTGCTTATTACTTAAGCCTATTTGAGGCAGGGTTTTTCCAGTAGTTACAGAATCCTGACTGATGCGGAAACTCCATGAGCAAGGTTAGAAATCCCCTTGTAGTAGCTGAGTGAAGTGGAGCCGAGACACAAGGGCAATTGAGTTTCCACAAAACCTGCTTCAGGCCCCTGACCCTCTGGTTTTCTGTTTGCATTCAGGGTCAACAGGAGAATGGCAGGCACATTGGAATCAACACATCTGTTTAGAAGGGGCCACACAACACATGTGCTAATGGACCTGGATTTGACTGAATTACTTCCTGTTCATGAATCTTCTTCTGCTGGAGAAGCAACTTTGTCAATTTGCTATCCCTCCTTTAAGGCCTCTTTGAAAGCACAGTGAAATGAATCTCACGGCTGGGGCATCCTGGGGAAGCTGTTAGCCACGTTCCCAACTGCAGCCAGAGGTTCCCCTCAGCCCTCTCCTCTATCAGTCTCAACCAGCATGGCTGGGACAGGGTCCTGAAATCTGCATTTTTAATGAGCTCCGCAGGCGGTCCTGAAGTAGATGCTCCAGGGGCTTTCTTGGGGAGCGTTGATCTAACACACCCCAGACCGAGGCTGGCTGTTTCTCCAGAAGTAGCCTGGGGTGAGGGAAAGCTGGGGCATTGAAACCACGGCTCTGTCATTCTTAGCCGCCTGACCCAGCCTCACGGCATCGCAGTTTCTTCGTATGTAAAACAGGACTAACAGTACCAGCTCCCCGGGGGTGAGGATGAAATACTGAATGAAAACTGCACATTCCTGCTCGGTTCGCTAATCGATGTATTGCTTCCACAGGCTCTTCAGGAACAGGGCCGGTCCGATGCCCACAGGATGTACCAGCGTCTGGTCTCCCCGGTGGGCCCAGGCTTTCTGTCATAAATCCATCCAGCTGAGCTTTCCATCACGTGCCAGAGCAGAAGCAGCTTCCTGCACACCTTCTGTTTAGGGCACACCTGTTCCCCTGGGGCCAGCCTCTTACTAAAGCCGCCCTAGGTTTCTGAATATTGCTCCCCAGAAGCAGTTCACAACAATTAAAGTGAGGAAAAGGGACTCTCCTACTTAGGGACTAGTGCACCAGCCTCTTCCCTCCTTCATAGGAAAGATGGGGAGGGGAACGAAGGAGGAGAGGAAGGGAATTGGCAAAAATCAGCCTCCAGCTGACTCCCAGGCAATTATGCCTCCAGCACACACTTACTGAACACTTGCTGTGCATCAGACACTGGGCAATGAGTCCACATTTGCCTCTGGCCCCGGTCACCCTCTTCCACCCTTCTGCTTGTAAAAATGCACTGAGAACCAGAGTCTGGAGGAGAACGAGGTAACACTTGGAAGTTTCAGTTGGCCTCGATTTCCGCTTTTTACCTCCCTTCCTGAGATTCCCTCTTCTCCAGCCTTCAGGCACCAGGCAGTGCCCTCATGCTGTCTCCTGGTTTGGGGTCTTGCTCTGTGCTCTTCCTGGGGGACCTGGCTGCTCAGGAATGCTCAGAGTTAGTGTTATAAACCAACACTTCTCCGCCACAGCCCCCTGGTGTGCCTCAAGTGATGTGCTGCGAAGAGCAGTGAAGACGGAACTCATGTGAAGCTCGCAAATGCCTTAGTCTTTAAAGGATTCGTTAGAGCCAGTTCAAGGTCATCCCTAACTTCACACCCCTGTCAATTGTCTGTGCTCCATCCTGGTCTCACGAGCGGACTTAGAGACAGTGCCGAGGGTTTGCACAAACCGCTGTCTACTCATCTGTCGTGGTGGTCAGGGCGGATGGGGCAAAGGAGGACCCCGTGGGCAGCCCCAATCGATGCTGCTTGACTTTCACTTTTCTCTAGTCTTCAAGAGAGGGAAGGAAATCCCTTCTAACCCAGTGAGAATTGTCTAGGTAGAAAAGAATGATGATGCTGATCTTCAGCCTTCTCCTCCCAGGTCACCTCCATTCTTGGCCTTTCCTGACCAGGACCATCCCCTGTCCTTGATCTCTTTTGTGTCCCACTTGTCCTCTTTGATATCTTTGCAGTTTGGGTCGTGTTCACAACTTGACATTGTACATCGAGAGTCTGACTAATGCCCAAAGGAACGGAATTGCTTCAAGCCGTTGCTTAATATATTTCTTTTAATACTTTTCAGGATTCAGCTGGTCAGTGGACAAAAGAGCCCAATTAAACCACCAAGCTGCAGCAAACGCGCTCAGGAAGGGCCTCAGCACAGGCCTGGAGCACTGAAGAACGTCTCCTCAATGCGGGCTTTGGGAACAGCCTTCAGGCAGACAGTGAGGCCCCGCACAGCCTCTGCTCCTGGAAAAGCCCTGAAGGCCTGTGCGATGTGCCCTTGGGATGATACTGGGGTCTCCCAAGGCTCCACCCTAGGTGGGCCCCGTTGCCTCCTCCGTTCACCCTTCCCCAGCCACATCAGGTACCAGGGCAGTCCCATCCTCAGAGCAGGCTGCAGGCTGTGAGGCTCCTGGAGCTGGGTCTGTGCTATCCCGTTAGCCTGGGATGCTGCCTTCTCCACCCCTCAATGATCACAACCCATCTCTCCCCTCAAGATGCCATTCAAACGCTCCTTTTCTGCAGCCCCCGTCTCCTCCTGTTGCGATCCTAGAGCACATTGCTTGCATGTTGCTGAACAGATGCCCATCCTGATCTGGGATTCAGTAGTGGTCTCCACCACCACCCTTCCCACCAAGCTACTCTGCCACTTCCCTCAAGGGGAGAGACGGGTAGGGGAACTTCGTCTACAGACTGCCTGTCACTTGCCGGGCACCGTGCTGGTTGCTATATGAGAATACCATTTAATCCCCGTGTCCACTGCAAGGCAGTCATTGTCATACCCATTTTACAGATGAGATTTGCCAAATAAAGGCAGAGAGCCAGAATTACAGTTTAAACTCAAGTCTGACTCTTGCAACAACCATGTTAGTAATTGTCTATTAATCTTTGTTTGGCCTTGTCACCTGGCACAGGCCTTGCCCACAAACAATTCCCAGTAAATGTTGGTGAGTGGAGCGTGTGATCCCGGAGTGCTGAAGGAAAGCAAAGTGGGCATCTGGACTGAGTTAGGCTTTGACGTAACTTTCTAAAGAGGCTATTTGCACTTTCAAAGGGGGAGGGTTAAAAGAAACAACCGAAGGAATCTCTACGTGGTAGAAGGTAGCAATGTTCTGTGATGCTTCTCCCCACCTCCTTCCCTGAGCCGGCTGGTCAGAATGGGACGGAATGAGTAGTTTTCCTTTGCCCTGCAGAAGCCAAATGCTCTGCCTCACCCATGTGGGACCCCGTATGGGGTTCCCTACGACCCCTCGCTTCTTCTGTGTTCTCAGCAGAGTATGTTTGATGCTCTCATTTGGGCAGAATGCAAGATGAGCATCTCTGCCGCCCACGTCTCTTCCTCCCCGTGGGGCCACAGGAGCCAGGTTGTTGCCTGGGCTCCTTCAGTCCTGGCCTCAGCACCGACACGCCCCGCAACCTCTTCAGGAGTGCATCTCCTTCCGGGGAGCAAGGTGGTTACCCAAGGTCCCCGCCCATCATTAGCTGCTGCGACTTCAGGGCTGGACGCCTGCCAGCCGTCTCTTCCCGCCTTCTCCACTCTGCTTCTATCTGTCATCTGATGGCTGGAAGCCACGAGCCCTCTCCAAGGCAGTCTACTTAGGATTGCCTCCTCCGCCAAAGTCAGAAACCAGCTGCACAGGGTTTGCTCAACCCCATGGGGTGTGGTGCAGAGGGAGGCAATGCCACCGCCAGGCCCCCGAGGATGTCAGCGCCTACCTTTAAGCATCCTCCAACCAATCCCCCCCGAGTCCTTACCTAAAGGAAGTTTCCTCAGAGCCGCTCAGCAGAGCGAAGGGCCCAGCCTTTCACCCACTCGCTCACTCCTTCATCAGTGTGGCGTTTGTTCATGCACTGCCAATTCCACAAGCATCTATTCTCTTCTCTTCCACAAACATTTACATCTGGCTCTTCATTCCAGAATTTCTGCTGAGTCACAACTGTGAGCTGGCAGTGAGGTGTCTGTTCAGTTCTCTAAATCTGCTTCCCTGGGTTTGGCTTCACCTTGGCCGTTTGACCTTGACCTGATTGATTTCAGAGAAGCTGGTGGAATTGGGCGGGAGGCAGCGGGGTGCACGGAGGAAGGTGGCTTAGCTTCAGAGGGGCCACTCGGGGCCTGCGGCTGGAGCAGTTCACTCTGAATGGGAGCCTTTGTCCTCTGCTGGCACTACCCTGGTGGGGCTGAGAATGTGTGCCTGGCCCTGTGGCCTCATGAGGGCCGGAGGCATGACAGGTCGCTGCGACTTCTGGCATGAAGAAGGAGTTGCAGGCTCGTGGCCCTCGGGCATGGCTCCCGGCCCTGCCACTCACTCACTCAGAATTCCCCTCGGATTTGGAGATCTGTGAGCAAAGTGACAAAACATCATTATTTTCTCTCAGTGTAAACATTCTTTTTCTTGGGTTTTTTTTTTGGGAGCAAAACAAAATTAAAAGGAAAAAGAGCCAAAAGTAGCAACACCCAGGGCTAAACTGTAGGCCTGAGGAAAACAAACACAGTTAGAAATATGTTCGCTGTCTCTGTGATGGCTGTGTGATTTTGAGCAAGTTATTTAACTTCTCTGGGCCTTGTGCTGCTTATAAGATCCAACATTGCTGTTGTAAGGAATAGCTCTTTGTGGATGCGTGTGTGCCTTCATTTATATGGTTTTCTGAGCCTTCTTACAAAAACAGTATAAAAAGCCCTAAAGGCACTAAATAATGTTGTATACCATGCTGTGGGTGGTAGAGTGGTATTGCATTCAAGGAGCCAAGCTTGCTGTTATTTTCTGTTTTTCCGGAAAGTTAACGGGAAACACAGAGTTCTATTGTTAAGCAAACCTTCTCCTTTTCCAGTGGGGCGAATTCTCCCGGCGCACGCCCGGCCGAACGGCGTCAGGTCCCTGGCTTTGCCCGTTGAGATACCAGAACCTTTGGAAAAGCTCCCGGAGCTGTTTTGCTCTCAGCAGAGACAGAAAACTCCAGCAGAGAGAGCAGACTCCAGCATGAGGGGAGATGAGGTAGCTGGGTTTTGTTACTCAGCAATCAACAAAAATGAGGCAAATGAGAGAGCCTTCCAAAAAAATACTCCTACTTTCCAGGGAGAAACATCATTTGAGATGTTACACTGTTTGCCATTTGACTGTCTGAATTCATACCCCACGCACGTGGAAGAGTCAGGCAGGTGTACGTAAGGGGAAGACCAACCCAGGAAGCGGGAACGTTAGACTGTGCAAGGCGCGGACCCTGCACCAAGTAGAGTTTACTGCTGGGTGCCAGCCGGGCGACCGCGGCACAAGAAGGACGCATCCGGCCAAGAAGCACAATGTGCCTCACAGGTGGTATTTCACTCTTCCCGGATCAGTTCTTCTTGGTGTAGGGTGGGGACGAGCAGGGGAACACATGACCGCCCCCTGGGAGTTTTTCAAACCTCACACACCTCTCTCTTCTCCTCCCTGTCCTTCACAGAGATGTCCGTGCCCTCCTGTTGAGCAGCATTGTGCTTTTCGGGGACATTCTCCCAAAGACAGCCTGAGGTACTTCCACGCCATTAGTGGATCAGGGGATAGCAAAATGAAATTCTGCTGCTTCCCACCAACTAAAACTCCTCCCCAGGGCAGAACCCCAGCCCAGGTGATGGGGTCAGCACTGACTTCCGGGGCTCGTCGGTCTTTATGAATTTGACCCTTTGCATTTAATTAAAAGAAATCATCAGGGCCAGCCCGTGGCCGAGTGGTTGGGTTTACGTGCTGTGCTTCGGCGGCCCAGGGTTTCGCCGGTTCAGGTCCTGGGCGCAGACATGGCACCAATCGTCGGGCCAAGCTGGGGTGGCATCTCACGTGCCACAACTAGAGGGACCCACAGCTAAAAATACACAGCTATGTGCCGGGGGAGCTTTAGGGAGAAAAAGGAAAAATAAAATCTTAAAAAAAGAGAGAGAGAGAGAAATCGTTTATGCTTATAGGCAATGTGAAGTTATTGGTAGCCGTGGGGGACCGTAAGGTCACGGATAATTGATACCCGCCGATAACCCCCAAACCTCATTTGGATCAGTAATTTCAAGTCCCCTCCAAACAGGCTGTCTTGGAGCTGCTAATACTGTGGGTCCGTCGGCTCGTGCGCTCCTGCTTCAGTCCACCTCCCAGCGGCCGCGCTGAGGACTGAAAAGTCCCCTGGCAGACGGCCGGCCAAGGAAGGAGTGGCAATGTCCCCCAGCGCAGAATAGCTGGGTTGCTGTCTTCATGTGCCCCACTTCAAGTACAACAAATACCAGAAAAACCAAATCCAAAAACCTACAAATCAGTGCACGATGAGCACTGCAAACCTACATGTATTACAAACAGATTCTGCTTCATATACAGGCCCATTATGAGATTCTTTAGGCCAATGGTTATTAATTTCTACAGGCTCTCAGACTCTTTTGAGAAATTAAAGAAAGCTGTGGACCCTCTTCCCAGAAAATGGTGTTCACACATATATAAATAAAATTTCACTTACAATGTTGGAGGTTTCACAGGACTGCTCAGCAGCTTGTAGATACAATTCAATATATTAGGCCTAATGTGAAGAACAAATAAAAGTAATCCCTTTCTTCTATTAGCTTACAACCTATAAGAAAGAATAGTATCCTATAGAAGACTGACTGTGTTAAAGGTTGTAATAAAAAGCATACGGTGCACCAATAAAATGTATACATAAGTTAATTACATGTATTTTATCAGGTAGCGTGAACAGGTATTAACCAAATCTGTTTGGCTTAAAGACTACACTCTAATATCCTTGTAAAAACTACTTCTCTCTCTCTCTCTCCCTCTCTCTCTCTCTCTCTCTCTATATATATATATCTGTTATTAATATCTGAAGTCAGTTGGGAACCTCTGCATAGCTACTCAAGAGGGCAGAGTGAAGATCAATTATTTCTGACAAGCACAGGGTTGTCGAAAATGACATCACAGAGGACATTAGAATGGAATCCTGAGTGTGATTTGAAAAGAATTTCAGGAGGCGGAAAGACATAACATTAATGTGTTAGGAGCCACAACCAATGGCAGGTGAACCAGCAGGAAACATTCTGCCTCTCTGGGATTGAAAGGCATTGGCACTTATCAAAATTTAGACGCACATCCAATGCACAGGTGATAGGTCTATTTGAAAGCCATTTTCTCCTGCCTTTCCTCATAATTTCATCTAAAGAAATGTGTTCCCTCCACAAAAGGGGTCCTTGCAAACTCCACCTGAAATGTTTTCGTGGCTCCCCAGGCCATGGGTACCGATGGCCTCTCCCTAGAGGAGGAGGTTGAAATGAAGTGCCAGGTCGACGTAAGTGCACCTGTGCATGTGTCAAATGCTGCCCCGCCGGGGAGAGAAGTGACCACAGCTTTAGAGGACACGGTGCCCAGGTCAGGAGGGCCGAAGCTGGAGGATTTCACTTTGCAGAAGTTGATACTAGACAAATGCAGCCTTTACGGTGCTTTGCACAGAATAGCTTGTGAAAATTATTTCTTGAATAAATTAAAATCACACTTGTGAAGAATTGCAAAAGTTAAAACTCCTTACCCACCCCTTAACAACGAGACCTGGACTTACTTGCTCATCTGTCTCTTTTTTATCAAAATTTTATTATGAATATTTATACCAACTGTTTAAAAAATTAGATCTGTTTTAAATTAGAAAACAGATCTTTTTGTTTTTGTTTTAAATAGAATCTAAGATCAGACTCCCATAAAATGGGGGAGCTGCTCTGTTAAGGCAGAGTGGCAGGGCTGGGTGGGAGGAGAAGCAGGGCTCACCACTCAATCCTCCTCCAACATGTGGGCCTTGGACCAGCAGCATCAGCATCGCCTAGGAGCTCGTGCGAACTTCAGCA